TAAACTTTCAAACCATTTGATAAGTGCTCCACATAAAAAAGCGTTATTAGCTCATTTTTTTAAACGAAGCGATTATAATATATGCCCACTGGGTGAGCACACATTTATAGGTCTGTATTCCTTGGCCCAAGCCTGTAGGGTGTAGGGGTGGGCCATGGAACTATTCCGTTTTTACTACATTTTGCTCAAACGAGTAATTACATACAAAAGTTAACTTTTTTATTTTGTGCCTAAAAAGGAGCACGAGGAACACATACATATTTTGTTCTTCTTCTATTTTAAAATATTTACCGAGTTGGTGATTTTGCCCGCCATATGAAAACAGGAGACAAATAGGGAAGGACAGGTCCTCATCATAGTCTCGTTTTTTTGCTTAATTGAAATGTTAACATATATGGGGTAAGGATTAGCAAAAGGTAGAATCACCTATGGATAGCAAGTTTATTGAAGTGGAGGCGAAAAGCCTGTACAACGTCATCGAGACGTTCGAACGGAAGATTGTAAATTTATCTTATATAAATGAGGAGGTACACCTGGATGAGGGGGATTCGCACAAGCAGATGTGAACACATCATGTTTGACAAAACGGTTTTTATTGCACAGTGGGGGGGGTGCACCGTTATATGTAGTGCATGTCGCACCGTTACATACTGTGTATTTGCGCGCGCGTGTGTGTGTATACTGTTTGTCAAGCTCTCTTTTCCCACTTGGCCATTTCGCAGGTTCTGGAAAAATTGAACGAGCAGGAGCTGTCCGGCCTACCTGAGGAATTCTTCACCTACTTCAAAGATATAATAAAGTTGAATAAATTGTATGAGCATACGGAGGTGATAAAATGTGAAAAGGACATGCAAGTGGATGATGGACAGGGGGGTGGCGAACGGGACGACAAACGAGATGAAGAACCGGACGACGAGCGAGGCGCAGAACGAGACGACGAACTTGGAGTGCACAAGGAACACCAAGACTTGGTGGACAAAATTAAAAAGTACTGTTCATATTTGTGTAAAATTTTTAAGCAAAATGAAAATTTATCTACCACATTGAATTCGTTAAGTGATAAAAAGAACCACGATTTTTTTAAGTTCCTGAGCATCGTCAAGGATTTGAAGGTATGTTACGAATCCAGGGGCTTCCAATTCATGTGGTGTATGGTCTGCACGTTCGTGTTGCATCGCCCCCATGTTGGGAGGCCCGGCCTCGCTCTTTTGTAAGTCTCCATGCGGGGCATCCCTTCCACATCGTCCTTTTGCACAATTAAACGACTCCATTTTGTGGCCACCCTCGACAGGACATCTTCCTGGTGAAGTTCCAAACGACAGCCGAGGACCAGCGGAAGAGAATCGAAAGCTTGGAAGAATTAAAGGAGGAGGAGCAGAACACACAAAACGAAGAAAAACAACTGAATGACGAGTTAGAGCTTGTTAGGAAAAAAAGTCATGACGAATTAAAAGAACTTCAACACATATTGATGACAAAAGAGAATGAACTGAGCAATTTGAAAAAGTCTTCTGAGGAAAGTTTAAAGAAGTTGCTCGATCAAATGCCCGTAAATAATCTTACGGAAGACTTGGAAAATATCAATGTCTTGCTCGACAAAACGAAGAATGTATATGATGACCAGATTAGGACATACCAAGACTTGGAGGTTAACTTGGTGAAAAAAAACGTGCTGATAGAGCAGGATATTCAGAACTACATCCACTCGATGGACGCGGAGATTGAGGAGATGGATAGGGGTAAGTCATGTCGCTGAGCAGATTCCCCAAAAGGTCTTGTTCATGTAAAAAAGTATATCCCCCACACACATCGTTAATAAACTCCCTTGCCCGCTCCCCGCAGAAATTCAACTCTGGGACAATAAACTGAGAGAGAACAAAATTATCGACAAAGACTTGGACGCCACGATATTAAAGAAGAAGGTGGAAGTGGAAGAGAAAAATTTTTTAAAAGAATTGACTGACAAAAGACATAACATTATTATGAAAAAAGAAAATGAAGATAATGAAGCAGCCACAATTATTCAGGCGTATATCAGGGCGGTGAAGGAGCGAAATATTTACAGTGCATACGAAAAAAAAAAAAAAAAAAAAAAAAAAAAAAATACCGCAGGAGA